TCCTGTGGCTTCAATGCGCTAGTTTTGTTCTTGGCTTTCCGTAACTAAAATCAAATTGTAGATTAAAGTAAGGTACTGGCAAAGGAATTGTGTCCAGAATGCGAACCAGGAGCCATGAACTTCTGTTGTAATGCTGACTTTTGCTGTCAGGTTCCAGGGACGGTCATTTAACACTTCCCCCTGCCCCAAAACAATTAACAAAGTGTATTTTTCATAACTGTAAAATACCAGATTATATTACAGATTATGAAAACAAAGCAATACTTTGGGACAACTGTTCTTCTGGGTCACATAGCAGTTTTACCTGGCCCGGTACAAATGCACTTATTTGACAGCAGCCAAAAGCAAATGCTCTGGATCAGACTTCACAAAATATTCCTATTACATGCATTTATGTGCTTCAGTACTCTGAGGACTTTTCTGATGTATCATATTCCAATTCTTTTGCAAGTTACAAAGAAACACACTTTTTTTCTTTGGTCAGGGTGATCAGCTACGAAGAAGGGAAAGCTTTAGCAGAATCCTGGAACGCAGCTTTCTTGGAATCTTCTGCTAAAGAAAATCAGGTAACGGATTTAAGATTCACTTTATTTGAGTAGCAGTGTAGTAGAATGACTCAGAGTTTCACTTAATAAAGGAAGCTGAAGTATTTGCATGTGCTCTACAGATGCTTTGTGTAGATGGTTGGAAACAAAATGACTGCCTGCATTCAGGTTTATGTATACAAGTTTTTCCATGCAACTATAAATGGAAGGAGGAAGTGAAGAACTGAAAGTTGAGCTTCACTGAACATAGCAGAACAGTTGGTGACAAACTAAAACTCGAATCCACGTGGTGGGTGGAACAGGGTCTGTGATCTGCTGCAGTTACCCTAAATAGGAGGTCACTGCGGTTGCAGAGGAGTGAGTTGGTATAAGGGGATGAACCTCATGTTTTAAGGTGCTAGGCAAGGCTTGGTCTCTCTAACGTGGGGAATAATCGTTTTGTGGGTTCATGGAAGAAAAAAAAACACTGAACAAAAATGTTAGAAACCAGCCAAGGCTGTCAGACACTGCCGTGATACAGCTGTAGTGAAGTTGCACAATCTGACCCAATATAACCCACACACGTTTACACTTGGTGGCTTCCTATCACAGAAAGAAAGTGTTTAATTACATTTTAAATAATGTCTTATTCTTGGTTGCTCAAACTTTCTTTAAAATGCCTCCTAAGTACGTTCTGGTATTTGAATTTGTTCCTGTGGCTGTTAGTACTACTTTGTTATTGATTTGACACCTTGTGTATCTAAGCTACAAGAGCCTCCCAGTTTGGGCTTGAAGTAATGGGTAACTGCTGCGGATTGGGGGGGGTGGGGGTGGGGTGTCTTCCCCCCCATTTTTTTTCTTTTTCTGTATAGGTCTCAACAGCTTTTGCTTTTTGAAAAGATAGACGTATGATACAGTCAAAAGGACATTGTCAGGCTAGTTTTAAACAAATGAGTCCTTATGCAGAAAAAACATTTACATTGTCTCGTATTTAACCTAGTGTATCACATCCTTGGCCTCCTTGAGACCATCAGCACAATCAAAAGGGCAATCCTGTAGGACCCGTTTAAGCAGCCTTTCTTTCCCTCTTCCCCCATCCCCAAAATCAAAACATAGCTTCTGTCTGATGCCTGTTGTCAACAACTCTGAGTTGCTTGAGTAAAGTTGGATTTTCCCTGGAAGAAAAACTTGGATTTTTTTTCTCCAGATATGGAATACATGGAGTTAGCTTATCAGTACTTCTGTTTCTGGCTAAGACTTGCATTAACCTTGTCAAAATTGGGCGTGATGAAAGCACGAAATTTCTCAATATCTTCTCCGTATGCTGGAGAGCTTCAAATGCATACCCAAGGAAACCAAATTGACAGGGTAAAGAATAAGCCAGTTCAAAGCATCTCATTCCCCCCCTTATTTTAAACAAATTAATACTTCTGGATTAGGCAGAACTATTGTCTGTACTCTTTTTCTTTTGGCATGTGTTCGCAATGTGCAACAGTGTAGCAATTCATATCTAGCAGAATATCTTACTGATAACTTTTCTGAAGTTTGTATTGTTCTTGGTTCAAGAAAAAAAAGGGTATATTTATGGAAAACTACAAGCTTTATATGATGCTTGGCATGTCTTGCATATTAAATTGTTGCACTAACGAAGTCCCGTTGACTGCCACATATTTGTGTCTGTTCCTTAGTCTCAGGCTGTATCAAGTTATGCTGCCAGCTGAAGTTTATGTAGCAAACTTCGTAGCCTTCAGGGAAATCAGAAGGGCAATTATATGTCAGATATTCAAAATTCTGTACAGTCCTGTGCAAACCCCGCAAAAAGTCAGAAGTTGTATTCATTCGTGCTGTCAGAGTTGTTCTTACCAGGTGT